TTACACTACGTGCCACATTCAGCCTTTCACACACATTCACACAGTGATGGCAGAAACTAACTCATTCATACACATTCATACACCGATGGACAGCAACGGGAGCAATTTGGGGTTCAGTATAGCAATGTACAGCCGCCCAAACAGTATCTTGCTCAAGGATAGTTCGACATGTAGTGGCAGGAGCCGGGGATCAAACCAACAACCTTCCAATTACAGGATGACCCGTTTTTCCTCTTAGCCACAGCCGCCCGAACAGAGGCATCAAGGTTCATTTTTTACTTTTTCATAGACTACATTGCTATTTTTGAGACTACAAACCATTCACTTTATTCCTATTATGTTTGAGTGGAATATAACTTCAAGATAATCTTAGTGCCATGTCTCTTTCTACCCACTGATCTATATAGAATCCATAAAGTTACCCTTCTTTTCTCCCTGAACTGGAACATTTCTTAATATTAATAAATGAGGGATATTCTGAGCTAGCTCTCTGTCATTTCACCAGTGAGCTGGGTAACTCCCCTAGCATAAGGCAGTGGGAGGCACACCAGCCGTCCTCCCACTCCTGCCTCATTACCACTCAAACAACACCACACATTGGGCAGTGTGTGCGTGTGTGTGTGTGCACACATTTCTCTGTGCAAGTGTTCGTGGTCTGGCATCTGTGCTGTGTCAACTGTCCTAGCAGGATTCGTCCCCTCCCTTACTTCACACACACTTCCATATGGTCGACTAGGAGAGAGGTACATCACCTAGATGTACACACGCAAACACATACACACAGCCACTCACACACATAGTATATGTGCATGTGTCCTGGCACAGCGCGCTGCATGCTTGTGCAGTGTGTCCTTGAGCGCTGCAATGGGACATGTTTGCAGTAAGCAGATCTATAAGGCTGGCAGAGAAAATGCAAAAGAGGAGGAGTAGGAAGGACGGCTGTGAAAAAAAGGCAGAGAGACATACAGACCACATGCCTCCTACACACCCTCTGCAACATGCTACCATAGCTACAGCTGAGTGGGCTAAGGATGGAAATCTGTGCATGTATGTGAGTGTTCACATGGCCTATAACCCCTCTCTCTCCCTCATCTGACCACAAACAACATCCCTGTAGGATGAAAACCTCTACAAAACCCACTATACAGCAGCAGCTGAATTACATAAGTCATTTGGCTCTCTGAATGACTGGTCGCATTTAGTGAGGTTGAATGCCAGATAGATGCATGCATACAGAAAACAGATAGTAACAGTGTTTGGGTGTCGTTAAAGCAGACATTGTGGGAAATACGGTGTTTGGTGTTCTGAAGCAAATGAGAAGAGCAATTTCAGTTTCATCTCAGCTTTTCTTTCTTTCTTTGTTAGCATCCCCATGAGCATCAGTATAAGCATTGTGTGTCCAGTACAGAGAAAGGTCTGTTATGTGGATTCACCTACCTTAACGGACCAGTGTGTAAGATTTAGTGACTAGCGGCAGGCTAAATGAAACAGCCGCCTGTAATGACACCCACTTGTTACTCATAGTGGCCATGCCCCTAATTATGCACAACTTTGAGCCTGAATATAATTCGAACAGGTTAGTTGTATAAGAAATTCATCCCCTGTACAATGGAGAAATTAGCTATAGAGACCAAAAGTGTTTTTTGTACCACGCTGTAAACATGATTACTTCTTCTGTGGAGATTGGCATAGACGATTAGACATGTAGGTTACTGCACTGGATGGGCTACCACCTAGAACTGGGGTCTGCTCGAGACTTCTGACTCTTAAAAGGACATAAATCCTTGCCACTGTCCCCAAGTGCTTGCTAATTGTGGGAACTGCTGGCTCTCTGTAAACAATATTATAAAGTGTACAGTTTAGACCTGCTTTATGTGAAAAGTGTCCTGAGATAACAATGTTGACTACCCAAGATGAATACCCAAAGGTCAAATTTCATTTTTCAATTTATTTTGGCCGTGTCAGATAAACATCCTAACATTTCTGCTGGACTGAATGTTTTGAGTTTTCCAAATATGGAAACAAAGACTCTATGTATATAATCTGTAACTTCAGTTAGAACTTTGCAATTGTACAAGATTTACTATTCCTCTCATTTTCAGTCATTGTTCACTGGTCAAAGAAAAAGACTACCATTTTCTCTCCTGCTCTGGTGAAGGCCACCAGGGCTGTTCAAATAAAACTGAATTGAACCAAGAACGGTTCTGAGAGTCATGTAAATTTTATTAGATTCTTAGTTCAGTCTATACTAGTAATATAATTGTTAGTGAAAGTCAAGGTGAAAAAGGTGAAAGGTGCAATGAGAGGGTTTAGTTGTGATTTAAAACAAGAAACAACAAAACCCAGATTCCCAAGCTGACAAAAGGTGTCAAAGGCATTTTCCAAGGTGTCAGGTGATTTGACTGTTGTTCACATAGAGTCTTAGAGTGTCTATGCTTCCTATTTGGAGACATTCTCTTACCCTTGACTCAAAACCGCTTTTGCAAAGAGCTGAACAGCCTAAAAGCATAAGCAAAGATGAACTCTGCCCCTTCTCAAGTTCCTGAATTACTGACTGTCTTGCTATATCAGGAGCTTTTCCAGTACATGGCATGGGCAGGGAGAAATCAAAACATAAAATCTATATTACCACATCTAATGCACTATGAATATTATAATAACTTTGCATGCACAAGTATCTATTGACATGTCACATGTAGGCCTATTTGCATTTCCAAGTATCTTAAGTGCTGATGTTGAAATAACAAGTCAGTAAAGTCAGCTAAGTGAAATAAATAAATTATACATCATCATAAATTATATAAATCATTTTGCACAACCTCTAATGGAGCCAAAAATAAGCAGAGGAGCAGCACAAGATATGTTTATTGATCTTAGACAACATGTCAAGTAACAGTTAACTTCATAATGTGCTTGCACTTACACTTTATGGCACATTACATTTATAGTGTTTATGAGAAGTGACACAATGCTTCAGTAAGCATTATGTGTTCTTCTGGGCACAGTCATAAAGCTTCATGGATGCCCTTATACAAAAATGCAGTGGTTCAAATTGGGGTCCTGGGTCCAACAGGGGGTCCTTGAGTGGGTTCTATGGGGTCCCCAGAGAAAGGAGAGATGGAATATTTTAACTTTTATTTCAGTTTTGGAAGTTGAAACAACAAGGGAAGAATAGGTTCATCAGCCATAACTTTATGACCACTGACAGGCGAAGAACAAGAACTAACACTGATTATCTGCTTATCATGGCATCTGTCAGTGGGTGGGATATATTAGACAGCAAGTGTTAGAAGCAGGAAAAATGGGCAGCGTGAGGATTTGAGCGACTTTGACAATTAAGGGCCACGTTGTGATGGCTAGATGACTGGGTCAGAGCATCTCCAAAACTGCAGCTCTTGTGGGGTGTTCCCGGTCTGCAGTGGTCAGTACCTATCAAAAGTGGTCCAAGGAAGGAAAAGAACTGGAGA